ACTGGGACGTCGCGATCGTTTGTGTTCATGCAAAACCCATTTGATGAGTTGACGGGAGCCCTTCTCTGCCAATGTCAAGAAGATGGAGGGGGACATTTTATGAATGGACTTGGAGAGAATAGAGGAGGTGTTTTGATGTTCAAACGCCACCTCGACATACACGACCACCACACGCCTGCATCGAAAGCCGTGCTTGCGGTAAAGCATGCAAACAAACATGCCGCGGTACTAATGTTGTACATTTTCCTGGAAACCTATTGGCCTACACCGGCTGTCGGCGACCTGCGGCTTTGGAGCCGCATGCGGTCCCATTATGGACGGCTTCGTCACATCGCGCTTCTTGAAATATTGAGTGGTTTTTTTTTCTTCCGAATTCGAACAAAAATGGCACTACACCAGAGACAGAGCCTCCTTTATATGGCCTTGTCTGGCCCGTGGTAGAGCAGAGAACGCACACAAGGCGAATGCCAATAACGTGATGAAGACAGTTGGGTAAAAGCGGAGGTGTTACGTGTGTGTGTGTGATTTGTACGATTCGTGTCCATCTGCACGCACGGATGTTCACGACGGACTCGTTGCGCAGCCGTGGCTGCTGTCTGGCTGTGCGTGCCGAGTGCCGGGAGTCGCACGAGTGGTGGTTGGACTCGAATGTCAAGAATCGGAAGAACGCGTGGACCAGGGGGTCGGTGTGTCGGTGTGTGAAGTGTAGGGAGCGGTGGTGCAGCGGTTAGCACGCTGCGCTATGAACCCGGCGACCCGGGCTCGATTCCTGCCCACGGCCGACACCGGTGACGATTATCTGAACCGGTCCTGGGCCTCCTCTAGGTCGACTCAGCTTCGAATGAGTACCTGGTGAGGTGCGTAAACATCGCCACTGGGGAGACAAAGGCGGCCGGGCGTGGTGCTGGCCACCCACCCCCTCGTGTGCCGTGCAAGTCTTGATAGGTGCTCGCTAACAGCACTTGCCCCAACAGTCTGTCCTGGCTATACGGGGGAGCTTTGTCTTCGTCTCGGGTTCCCGACGTAGTTCCGATCGCCCCCGCGCGTGCCCTCGTTCCCATTCCTCGTCATCACCAGCCGTGGTCTGTCCACTGCCAGATGGATTATGGGGTAGTGGTGATGCTGCTGCTGCCGTTGGCAGCGGTGCACAAGCACAAATAACCACAACAACAAAGAGTGCAACACGCTCGTCAATGGCCCTTCTTCATAGCACATGGATGTTGGCCTCGCTTCCATTGTTTGGGCGTTAAAGGATTCTCCCCTCTCGGCGATTCGATGAATCTGTCACTATTCGAGGTTCCGATGCGACTGCTGCGCCCGAGGGTTGACCGACCCTCTCTGCGCGTCTTGTTTGTCCTCGAGCTGTCTGTCCCGTCTGTCCCGTTCGAGCTCCACTGCTCAGTGATCTCAACATCAGTAAACACAAATACTTTTTTTAACTATATGTTTATTTTACCAGGCAAGGCCCACTGAGCTATACAGCTCTTTTTCAGAAGCGACTTGGCCACAAATGATAGCACAACGAAGTGGCTTATCACGTGGACATTTATATCAGCCAAATACAGCACTCTGAATGCATGTTACTAGACATGTTACTAGACATGTTACTAGACATGTTAATAGACATGTTAATGGACATGTTACTAGACATGTTACTAGACATGTTAATAGACATGTTATTAGACATGTTAATAGACATGTTACTAGACATGTTTATAGACATGTTACTAGACATGTTACTAGACATGTTTATAGACATGTTACTAGACATGTTACTAGACATGTTACTATACATGTTACTAGACATGCGTTAAGAGAACAGTCCACGCGACCACGGGCAGAGGGACATGCACAATCCAAATGGCCAGTCGACAGGGTCGGGATCGAGCCCACGACCTCCTAGACAGCCAGGGTAGGTGCGTCCATAGAGGCGATGTTGGGCGGTCGCCTAGGGCGCTAAGTTAAGTGGGGCGCCAAATTAGAGGAAAAAATAAAATACAAATAAAATAACGAATATGTCAATTAAATTCCCGTGCGCGTCGAGGCAATGTGAATACTAATTTCTCAACATTTCTGAGAACGTCTTGGTTGGACAGACGGACGGACAAACCGATTAATCATGACTCTGTTTAAACAAAAAATACGCTCTCAAAATGTTTCCCACAACAAAAGCCTCAGCCTAGAATCTTGCCCTTTGGGTTCGGGGGGGGGGGGGTGTGGGGCGGGGGGTTGCACGATTCGCCTTCGGGCGCCAGTTGCTTGCAGCTCGTCTTGGGCCGCCCCTGAACGGAGCAGGCGAGGGAGTGAACAACTCGCCACCGATGCGCTTGCCCAGTAGTCGCGTGGGGCAACAACCCCGATGTGCGTCTCCTCCTCTTACGTCGTTTCGCAAATACGTCGTCACTTTATTACCACCACCACCACCTGATTGCGTCGCCTCAACCCACACTTACATCGCTATCCGTCGCCTCAACCTCCGTCCCCCCCACCTACCTCTGCACACGAGCCACTTTGCGTCGCGACTCTAGAAATGCACCGTAGAGTCGAGTCGACTGGATTATTCACGTGCAGTGGAGTTGAGTGATTTGGGAGAGAAAACATCGCTTTGATTTCACGTCGTTTCCATATTCATTGTCGCGCCTTGCTGGAACGCATCCCCGACGTTATCCGGGGTATTACTGGATGCATGTCATCGTCTCTTTCCCCCCCGAGATCTTATAACTTTGCTCGATACATTTTAAAACGTCTAATCGTGCTGTCTGTTGCTGGCCGCTTGGCGTTACGAGCCTTTGAGCCACTGCTCAGCAATAAAAACACATATATTACATATACACAGTACCTGGAGCTATATAGTAATCGATTGAATTAGAGGAAACGATTAATCGTTACGTGGTGTCTAATCATTACACAACCGGGAACGTGACGCATTGTTATTGACACGTGCCTCTATGACGAGTCAGTACCAGTACACGTGATGCATCGTTAATTACAGGCACCTCTATAAATAATTCATTCCGCTACACTAATCAACCGTTAAATACAGGTACCTCTATATTTAATTAGTAATGATGCAAATTAATTACAGGTGCCTTTATAATTAGTACCTTATAGACGTGATGTACCGTTAATTACAAGTGCCTCTATAATTAATGAGTACTGGTACATGTGCTGCTAATTAATTCACAGGTGCCTTTGTAATTAGTAATCTGTACACGTGATGTACCGTTAATTACAGACACGGGTGGTCCTCGGCTTACGAACGAGTTCCGTTCCTAAATTCCTGTTCGTAAGTCGAACGGTTGATAAGTCGGGGCACACTGATCTGTATTTAAATGCGCATAGAGGCAGTGTTCTAAAATGTGTTGCGGTTTAACAAAAAAGGAAAGCAACGTTAAACTCATAAGACGAAATATTGTACATTTGCATGTAATGCTGTAATACATACTGTATAGTAAATAAAACAAAATAAAGTAACATAAATAGAAAATAGAGTTTTATTTTAATTTTACCTTGAATCCTCATGCTGGCTTGCTTATCGGAAGGGGCGTAATGAGCAAACAAAGATCCCCCGTATAGGCTTAGCAGACTGTTGGGGCAAGTGCTGTGAGCGAGCGCCTATGAAGGCCGGAACGGCACACGAGATGGTGGGTGGCCAGCATCCCGAGTGGCGATGTTTACACACCGCACCAGGTGTACAATTGAGGCTGAGTCGACCTAGGGGAGGCCCAGGACCGGTTCAGATAATCGTCACCGGTGTTGGCCGTGAACGGGAATCGAACTCGGATCGCCGGGTTCGTAGCGCGGCGCGATGTTCCTCTACAGCCCCCCCCCACTTCCACCACCACAACAACCATCGACACCACCACCACCAACACCACCACCACTACTTCCACCACCTCCACCACCATCAACACAACCACCACTACTTACACCGCCACCACCACCTTCAACAACAATACCACCAACACCACTTCCACCATGACCATCAACAACACCACCACTACTTACACCGCCACCACCACCTTCAACAACAATACCACCAACACCACTTCCACCATGACCATCAACAACACCACCACGACGACAATCGATACCCACGACCCCCATCACCGCCGCCCCTCGCTGTGCCCATCGCATCTCAGTGCGCACGCGCGAACAGGCGGGGGAGGGAGGGATGGACAAAGCTTAAACAAATAGCACACAGACACACAAACAAACATAAATAAACACAAACAAAATACACACACAAACACAGACACACAAACAAACATAAACACAAACAAAATACACACACAAACACAGACACACAAACAAACATAAATAAACACAAACAAAAAACACACGCAAACACAGACACACAAACAAACATAAATAAACACAAACAAAATACACACGCAAACACAGACACACAAACAAACATAAATAAACACAAACAAAATACACACACAAACACAGAAACAAACATAAATAAACACAAACAAAATACACACACAAACACAGACACACAAACAAACAAATAAACACAAACAAAATACACACACAAACACAGACACACAAACAAACATAAATAAACACAAACAAAATACACACACAAACACAGACCCCCCCCCCCCTCCAGGAAAGTAAATAAACCACACATCCCAGAAAGGTGAATTAACAAACGCCGTGACACCCAGTGCTGTGGGTTCCAGATAGGAGATCCATCCATCAATGAGTGCCCGTGTATCAATCAATCGATCACTCGATCAGTCAATCCATCCACGAATTCACAAAGTGATCAATGTGGTCTGATATCACTCATCCGTCGCCAGCCATCACCTTACCAACGCGCACATGAAGCAATTGATGTATCCACTGACAATGTCGATCAATCCATCCAGCAATCGATTCATCCACCACCCCATTCATCGATTCATAAACACGCGCATCCATCGACCGGTCAATCAGTGCACCGGCCGTGTCGCCACGGCCCGCTCGACTCGCAGTGATAATAATGCCACGTTGCAAGTTTATTTAACAAGTGGTTTGCAAATGACCGCTCTTAAGAATAATAATACTGTATTAATAGTATAGCAGTAGTCCTTGTAGGGGTAGTCGTGGTTGCCATAGTAATTTAGTTGTAGAAGCCGTAGTAGTTGCAGCAGCAGCTGTGACAATGGAGCCGACGAGGTTAACAAGGACATCCATCATCATCACCCCTGCCACTGGGGAGACAAAGGCGGGCGGGCGCGGTGCTGACCACCCACCCACCACTCCCTCGTGTTGCCGTGCCGGCCTTTGTAGGCGCTGCTACTCGCTAACAGCACTCGCCCCAACAGTCTGTTAAGGCTACCCAGATGATATTTGTCTCTGTCATCCCAAATTGGATTGATAAAAAGGGCTGTTAAATATACACTTAATTATTAATTTACTTAGATGACGATTTACTTTATAAATATAGATAAAGATACCCCGTAGAGCCTTTAACAGGTAGCACTTGCCTCAAAAGTCTGTGAAGGCTATCAGGGGGATCTTTGTCTTGTGTTAACTATGTGTGTGTGTGTGCTAGCGCGTGTCTGGGAGCTTCTTCTGCTTGCCAACCAAATTGGTGTTCGCGTGTGTTCAACCCGTGTCACCTACAGGGTGTGTATGCCTCTCTATGTCTGTATGTTACATGCTTGTGTGTTTATGCGTGTGTGTTACCTGCGCATGTCACCCGTGTCTCTGCCGTGTCTCTGCCGTGTCTCAACCGCGTCTCTCTCGTGTCTCTCTCATGTCTCTCCCGTGTCTCAACCGCGTCTCTCCCGTGTCTCCGTGTACCTCACCTACCGCGAGCTACCCGTGTATACGCGGCCTCCTTCGCGAGCTGTGAGCGAGGAGCCCTCCACGCGACGAAAACTCAGTGGCACGGGGGGGGGGGCGCTGACACCGCGAGCCTCACCCCGGTCTGCGCGCGCTCGGCATCGACCTTCACCACCTAGAGCCGCACTCTCGCCTCCCCACGTGTCCCTCCGCGTCGATGTGCATCTTCAAGGCAAAGTGGGGGGCGGTGGAGGGAAGGGGGGGTGGGTGAGTTGCAGGTGACGTCATGCGTGCGTTGGAAAGGTGGGAGTGAGGGGGAGGGTGCAGGAAGGTCAGCGGAATTGGCCGGGTCATTCGCTCCATTCGGTCGTCTGCTCGTCCGTTCACTCCTCGGTTGGTGGCTTCGCTCCACTCGCGCTCTCGCCATCGGGAGCGAGCAGCTTGGTCGGAACCTGCGCTGGGAGCCCCGGGAGTTTGGCGGCTACGAAGGAGGAGGGTTCGGGGTGGGGGCCTTATGCGCACCACGTGGTACAAAGGAAGAGATGGAGACCGATGATGTCTCGTTGGGTGCCATCGCCTCGCGAAGGAGACGACGGGAGGAGGAGGAGGAGACGAGGAGAGCCCCTGCCGAGTGGCGTTCGGCTCAGGCCACAGACAAACTCCGGCAACGAACATCGCCTGCATCCCAGCGACAGTCTCTCGCAATCAGCGAGAGACGCGCGACCCGACAATGGATCCCGGCGCCCAAGCGGCACCTCGTGGTGACGAGAGGCGCTCTCGGGCGCCGTCAGGAGCTGCCGTGAAGCCGCTCCCGACACCCGAGCGAGCGGTTGCACGCAACTTGCTCGAGTGCAACTGACTCGCTTATTATACGGACGTGTCTGCAACCGGATTGGGGGGTTGAAGTCGTGCAATCGGTTGATGGTCACAGTCGAGAAAAAAAACCGACTTTTACGCGTTGGTCTATTCGGCGATTTGTAGCGACATGATTAACAACGTGCTACGCGAATTGGTGATTGGTTGTTTTACAATGCTGAATGTGGCTCTTAACAACAACAACAACAAAAGTGTTGCTCGACTACTCGCTCAGATGTGGACAAAGCAGTCGCGGGCGATGAAGTTGCGCAACTGATCGCTCCAGGATTGTGGCGTTCTGTGATGCAGAGCAAGGGAAGTCGATCATCTCGCCTCTGTCGCTTCCACCGGATTCGACTTCCTCAATTCATGCCGCGGCCCTGGCCAACTGCGGGAGCCTCCCAGCAGGGCCCCTGGCCCAGGAAGAAAAGTTTGAGTGACACAGGAAGGGGTCACGGGAGGATGGAATTGTCACCGGACGCGAAAACGGTGACCAGTCCCGCAGATGTGAAATGCCAAAGATGAATTAGGAGCGTGATTCATAATAATTCATTCGGGGGGTGAGGCCCACCTGACGATCTCACCAAATTAAAGTCGTAAGACCCCCCCCCCCACCGTCACCTGACACAGCCGAACAAATTAAATCCCCCATGAGTTGAAGAACGATCTTCACGAACGATATTCAGCAGCAATGCGGTGGGAAGTAAACCGCGGATCTGTCACTGGGCTGAACCCAACACCGGCTGCCGTACGTGATGAGTTCAATCCTAGCTCACGTAAGCGCCGTCGCTCGGTCTGTTCGTCCCGTGCGTTGCTAAGCACTCGCAAATAGAATTGACCAAACATCTTAACTCGGTGATGTCTTAGATAGCGAGGGCATTGTTTCTGCTCTATGTTTTATGTTTCTGCCCTGTGTTTTATGTTTACAATGCTTCTGCAATGGACAGGTGCGTCCCGGCCAGTGTCGAAACTCCAAGAGGACGGCGCTATATTAGTAAATATCTAGAACCACAGTGAGCGCACGTCCATTCAACGCCAGCGCATCGCACGCCCGTTCGTGACTTCGAAATTTAAAAAAGTGCATCTCGAAATTCACGGAGCTTCGAACTCGCAGCGGAGCGAGGGTCCCCTGGGCACGGAGCCGCGGGATGAGAGCCACCACCTGAATTCGGCACCGGGACCTGGACCTCTCCTGGGTCGACTCAGCCTCAAATGAGTACCGAGTGCGATGTGTAAACATCGCCACGAGGGAGACAAAGGCGACCGAGCGTGGTGTTGGCCACCCACCTCCTCGTGTGCCGTGCCCACCTTCACAGACGCTCGCTAACAGCACTTGCCCCAACAGTCCGTAAGGGGATCTTTGTATGTTTTTGTTTGACCTGTGCGTGTCACCTATGTGTGTGTGTATGCCTGCCAGTATGTCACGTATGTATCTACATGTGCCACCTGCGTGTACACCTGTGCGTGTACACCTGCGTGTACACCTGTGCGTGTACACCTGCGTGTACACCTGTGCGTGTAGTACCTATGTTTGGGGAGGGGTCGTGTGGTGGTGAGCGGGCGACACTCGGCCTCGTCTCCTGGCATTGGGGGGGTGGCTGCCGCGGATTTCTGAAACCCGAATCACCCTCTTAGTGGAGGCAGCGCCCCGACATCACGGGATAGAGATGATGGTGGTGGTGATGGTGATTATTATGGTGGTGGTGGATATGATAGTGGTGGTGGTGGTGATGGTGGCAGTGGTGATGATGATGATGATGGATATGATAGTGGTGGTGATGATGGTAGTGATAATGATGATGGTGGTGATGGTGGTGGTGATGATGCTGTTGGTTATGACAGTGGTGGTAGCGGTGATGATGGTGGTGATGATGATGATAATGGTGTTGGTTGTGACAGTGGTGGTGGTGATGGTGTTGGATGTGATGGTGGTGATGGTGTTGGATGTGATAGTGATGGTGGTGGTGATGATGGTGTTGGATGTGATAGTGATGGTGGTGATGATGGTGGTGGTGATAATGGTGGTGGTGATGTTGGTGTTGCTTGTGATAGTGGTGATGGTGTTGGATGTGATAGTGGTGGTGTTGGATGTGATAGTGATGGTGGTGGTGATTATGGTGGTGATGATAATGGTGGTGGTGATGATGGTGGTGGTGATGATGGTGTTGCTTGTGATAGTGGTGGTGGTGATGATGGTGGTGGTGATGATAATGGTGGTGATGGTAATGGTGGTGGTGATGATGGTGTTGCTTGTGATAGTGGTGGTGGTCATTACAGACATTTCACTTCAGTACCAGCAGACGCTGCTAAGTGCTCATTGTGACGAAACTACCGCGAGGTGAAGCCCCGTTTTTGCTCTACTTTTTGGGTCGTGGTAGATGTATATACACGGATACTGTATAGACTGTAAGTTTATACTGTATGTGTTAGGTGGGTGGGAGATGCGATGACATAGATCGGTGCCACGCGCACGACGCACGCACGAGCAAAACTGTTTCAGGAACCACGATCATCGTCATCATCTACTCGCGATGGTCACGAGGATTTGGTGAAGGGTGGCGCAAGCGATGACATCGCCTCCTCCTCCTCTTCCTCGTCGTCGGTCCCTCGTGGTCGTCTCCTCCTGCTCCCCCTCGTCCCACCTTCCTCCTCCTCTCCTTCTCGCCTCATTATCATAACCATCAGCACCTCCCCCCCCCGCCGCCGCCACTCCCGCTGGCTCCCGCTGGCTCCCGCCGGCTCACGCCTCCGAGTCGGAGCCGTCGCTGGACGCGGGGTGCGCCGGCGGCTCCCCGAGGCTCGAGAGGCTCGCGGCTCCGGGGCTCCCGGCGGCGGCTCCTGAAGAGCTCCGCAGGCCTCGCCCGGGTCCCGCACCCGCCTCCTCCTCCTCCTCTTCGTCGTCGTCCTCTTCGTCGTCGTCGTCATCGTCGTCGTCTTCTTCATCCTCCCGCAAGCCCACGGCTCCGGGAGAGAGCGACGGCTGATGGAGCCTGCAGCCAGGAGCGCGCACACGGGCACGTGCGCGCGTGAGTGAGAGTGGGTGGGTGAGTGGGTGAGTGAATGGATAAGTGTGTGGGTAAATGTGTGAGTGAGTGAGTGGGTGAGTTGGTGGGTGAGTGGGTGGATGAGTTGGTGGGTGAGTGAATGAGTGAGTTCGTGGGTAATCGGGCTATGAGTGAGTGGGTGAGTGTGCGGTTGTGTGCGCGGGTGGGTGGGTGAGTGGGTGAGTGAGTGGTTGTGAGCCATGGGTGGGTGGTTGACTAAGTGGGTGAGTGAGCTGGTGTGTCAACGCGTCTATGTTGTGAGTGGCGTGTGTGTGTGTGATTGCGTGTGTGGTGTAGCAGTGATGTCACGTATGATTGACAGTGTGTGGTGTAGCAGTGACGTCACGTATGATTGACTGTGTGGTGTGGCAGTGACGTCACGTATGATTGACAGCAGCTATATTCACAGAGCTAATGCATTAGGTGATTAGGACGACGTTTGACGTGTTCGCTGGAAGGGACACAAATGATAAAAAAAAATCTGCGCAGTAAACTAAATAAATAAATCAGCGGCATTGGCGTGGGGGCTTCCGCGAGCTTCTCCCCTCCCCACATCGCGGCGAGGTCAAGGCGGGCGGCGGGAGAGGGGGCTAAAAATCTGCGCAGCACGGAGCCTCAGAATCTACGGTGACCCAGCCCTGACCCCGTTATGACCTCAACCCGACCTCACTCCCAGTTATCTCACACTCAAGCCTGAATTCAACTCTCACTGGCCTCAAACCTATCAACTAAACTTTTTTTATTTTACCAGTTAAGGCCCCCTGAGCTAAATCTCTCTTTTTCAGAGGCGACCTGGCCACAAATGATAGCTGAACGAAGTGGCTTATCATGTGGAAATGTATATCAGCCAAAATATCTAAGCGTACGTTGATTCTAAATGTGGAGAGGAAAACCGGAGTACCCGGAAAAAAATCCACGCCACCACGAGAAGAGAGAGAAACACGCAAACTCCAAATATACAGCAGGCGTCAGGGTCAGGATCGAACCCACGACTTCCTGTATACCAGGCGAGGTAGTTAACATCTCACCACCACCGCTACCCTGACGTCAGCGTGACCTCAACTCACACCGACCTCACCTGACCCCTTCCCCACTTAAACTCCGCCCCTAACCCTGACCTCGCGCTGACCTCAGCTCGCCTCTGCTGCCGCGCGACGAGCGCTGCTCGGAGCGTGTGATCGCGTCACGTGCACGGCAGAGGAATGTGCCAAATCGCCGACGCGGTGGGTCATTGATTGAAGGCTTCATAATCAGAGGGAGGCGCCACGAGGAAGAAGCAGACGAGCGGGGAGGCAGCAGCAGCAGCAGCCACGCGGTGAGGAACCTCCCTCCCCCCCCCCGCAAGCTCTGCGGTTCTCTATATATATGAAGGTGTTATCGGCCAACCCTTTCCCGAGATGCCTGCAAGTTATATGGAGGGTGCCGTTCATCCGGTGAATCTCGGAACGCGCAAGCGGTTAGCGTGACTTTTATTTAGAGAGGCGTAGTAGTGCCGCTGTTGTTCCAGACATTGTACTCACCAACAAGACAGCACTAGATGACAGCTGGCGCCAAACTGTGCCACACGCCATCCCGCGGGGCCTTTTACTTCCGATTCCGTTCAGATTCGAGTCCGTTCCAATGACGTAAACGTACGTAATCGGAACAGGATCAGGAAAAAAACGTATGACGTACGTGTCCGATGACGGAACGGGAAAGGGTTTTGATGAGCGTTTGAATGTGGCAGGAAATCGGAACGCCCGGAGAAAACCCACACGTGCGAGCGAGGGGCCAACACTATCTTTTTAAAAAATAACCACACAAATGGAACAGGTGGAGTCCACATTTGCTGTTACCGCCTTCTCCTGGCGAGCCAGGGTACGGGCTCCTCCTCGACGCCCACCTACGGGAAGGTGGTTTCACAACGCGCGCGTGTGCGGCGGCGAACCACCAACCCTCGTGGCTGACCTCCCCAGTTCCAGGCAGCGACGTGCAGTGTAAACACCGCCACCACCGCCACCACCGCCGCCACATCGATTGAACAATCATCGCTCGTGCCTTTGAGCCGAGCTCGTTGCAGAGATGGGTGTCGGACGAACGGCACAAACCCAACTCGCCACGAACCACGCGAGCCCAACGAGGGGGCAGCCTCAATTACGCAGAGACGGAGCGGTGGCGGAGTGGTTAGCGCGCGCTGCGCCGCGTCGTTAACCAGGCCATCGGGGTTCGCGATCCGATCACGGCAAACGTGCGATGTGGTTTATAGTTTAGAACCCATTGGCAACTCGTACCGACGAGCCAGGTGAAGTATGGTTAAACAACATCCACGAGGGACGTGGTATGTGGAGGGAAAGAGCCTTCGTCCAGCAGGCGATTGACAGAGGGCTCGTCGTTATATTCATTTTGCTATCCACACTCACAAGCTGTAAGCGTAGCGAGTGATGATGCTTCTCCGTGGGCTGAGCAATCGGAGTGAACGCGAGCTCCTGAGGATCGAGTGAACATTGAGGCGTTGGTGGCCATCCCCTGTTCTTTACAGCCCTGCACCGCCAGTGGTGGACATTCCACGTTCTTACGGCGGGGGAGGGCGAATCAGCAAAGGCCAACCACCGTTGACTTCCCTCCACTCAAAAGTGGTAACTATTTTATCGACCCCAGTGGGATGATGGCCTGAGTCACCCCCCCCCCCTTCCCCCTAAGCAGGACTTGAACCCCGTTGACTTTCCCACTGCGAGTCGCTCGGCCGCTGCTCCCGAGCGGCTGATCCGCATCATCCCACGGAGCCACGCCTACCCCGCGGTGGGGGCGGGGGGGGGGGTTAGCCAATCAGATTCCCCGAACACGCGATGTCATCATCGCTGTGGTGATCATTAGGGCACCGTTGTTGTTGTGGTTGTGTTGGTTATTGTGGTGGTTGCGTGGTCGTCGTTGTGGTTGTTTGTGATGGTTATTGTGGTGGTGGTGGTGATTATTGTGGTGGTTGCTGTTGTAGTTATTGTGGTAGTTATTGTGGTGTTTGTGGTTATTATGGTGATGGTTGTTGTTGTGGGGGTTATTGTGGTGGTTATTCTGGTTTTGGTGGTTATTGTGGTGGTTGTTCTGGTGGTTATTGTGGTGGTGGTGGTGGTTGTTGTTTTGGTGGTTATTGTGGTGGTTGTTTTGGTGGTGATTGTGGTAGTTGTTGTGGTGGTTATTGTGGTGGTGGTTGTTTTGGTGGTTATTGTGTTGGTTGTTTTGGTGGTGATTGTGGTGGTTGTTTTGGTGGTTGTTTTGGTGGTTATTGTGGTGGTTATTGTGGTGGTGGTTGTTTTGGTGGTTATTGTGGTGGTTGTGTGATATCCCTGGCGATGCATGAGGGGCAGTGGTGATGGTTGAGCGATGGACGCGCCCCATCAGAGGGTTTCTCATCACTCATTGACCCAGGCCAGATGTGACGGTGGGCGATGATTGTGACAATGTGTGATGATTGTGACGATGTGTGATGATTGTGACGGTGTGTGACGTGATACTCAATGAACGAATCAACCCGCCAAGCGCCCGCTCTCGCCAGACCGCGCAAGCTAAGCAGGCGTTGACCCTGCTTAGCCCTGTTCGGTGTCCACAAAGACACCATCGGCTACTGCTGCTGCTACGGGGCTACGTGCTGAGCAGAGAAACAATCCACCGCTGTAGCGCACGCCCGGGATCCCACGTCTCGGGTGCCTCCCCATCGTCACCAACTGTGGGACTCCTGCGAGCACCCCCCCCCCCCCCCCCACTCGGAACCCCTCCCCTTTCCCCGCCCCCTGTGAAAACGCACGCCGCTCTGTGCAGCAGCGTCGAGGTCTCGTGCCCGATTCTCCGTTCCTTTTCCATCCCTCTCCTCTCATCCTCCCCGCCCTCCATTCTTTCTCTTATATCTTCTCTCTCCCGTCTCGTTACCCATTCATTACACCCTTGACTCTACTCCCCTCCCCGCGGTGGTGTAGTCTCGGGTACAAAGTTGATAGTGACGATAACTTCACTTCCGAAGAGAGAGAGAGAGGACGACTCAGAAGCGCCAGGAGGAGGAACCGCAAACGAGCGGGGAAGGCAGCAGCCACGCGACGAGGAGCCGGCGCCACCAACAATTGGCCCAAGCTCTGCGATCCTCTGTATATATTAAGGTCATGAGTGTTTAGGTGTGGATGGAAATGGGAGTGCCCGGGAAAAATAAAATCACGCGCGGAAACCCTCGCAGTCAAGTCCCGCAGCCTCCAGCAGGCCTGCTAAATAATGATTACAGACATCCGCCACTGGGACACAATTCTTAAACACAGCAGATTATAATAGTATGTATGCATGAGGATGGTTATTGAATGCACAGCGGGATCAAAATCCTCAAATAAAGAGGCGAATGAGAGTGGGGTGGAGCACTTTTAGAAAATGGATCTTGATTACTGAGAAGACACATACGCACGCGCGTATATGCACACATACAAAGAAACCCCGTATAGCCTTAACAGACTGTTGGAGCAAGTGCTGTTAGCGAGCACGCACACGAGCAAGTGGGTGGCCAGCACCACGCCCGGCCGCCTTTGTCTCCGCAGTGGCGATGTTTACACTTTGCACCAGGTACTCATTTGAGGCTTAGTTGACCTAGGGGAGGACCAGAACCGATTCAGATAATCGGCACCGGTGTTGCCCGTGAGCGGGAATCGAACTCTGGTCTCCGGGTTGCACACATACACACATATACAGATACACACACGTGTACATAACTTATACTACACATGAACCAATACGTGCTCGAACATGACTACGTATCGGAGGCATGGCGCAGTGGCCCAAAAACGGCGCTACGAATTCGGAGACATGAGTTCGAATCCTGGCGGCGGCGAATATCGGAGGCGAGCAAAAATCCCGAAGTTGATTTTGACTTGATGGATTTCCCTGCAGATGCTTGGCGAGGTCCGAAGCGAAACGTCGCCGGGATCCAACCGCTGATA